GATGCGTGCTTTGGACTTTCCAAGCTCGAAGGGGTTGCCTCCAGGGCCTCCAGGCCCCGCAGGACCTGTGCTGATCACAGACATGACAATGAGGGCGCAAAGGCGTCGAGTCGAGCAGTCCCGCCTCCAAATGGCAAGCCTCCAAACAAAAGAAGCAGGCCGGCAATCAGCCAGGCAATGGGACCCGCAAACCGTGCGAGGAAATCGAACGGAGAACCGCCGGCGTTAGAATTTTGCATGACCTGACGCAATTCGCAGTCGCATCTACGAGTATGAAGGAATGACATCGAAGACTTGAGCGGCCGAGGCACTACGTCGACCTTCTTGTCTGCCAAAGTGTTGAACAGCTCATCCTCGATCTGAGCATTGGGAATCAAGTTTACATCCCGTCTGGCGCCATCCTGAGAAGGTAGAAGGCGTGAAAGATCCCGGATGGCAAAGGTCCCGAAGGGTCGCAACGGAGTGACTTTCGAATTTGGAGTCCTTCGTTGTATACTGTGCTGAAAGCATGTCGTTCTGCACACGCACCATTTCCACATCTCCCTTCTTGACCGATTCTAGGAAGTCCGAGTAATTCACGACGTCCGCCGCATTCGCCGGCCTCGGTTGCTTGAAGGGCGCCAGTAAAACCGCCTGTCGAAAGGGCGACCTTCGGTGGCGAGGGGCTGCAGGGTGACTGTGTAGGTCAGCAGAAGAGATGCAGCTGCACTGGCTGCCCAGCGAAGCTGCCCGTCGGTACTGGAACGCGAGGCCACCTGACGGCTCAAGTCGCACAGAGATGAGGCAGGCAATGTGAAACGTATCTCGCCTCGGCCCCTGCTACCTCTGCGAATGCACTGGCCGCGGAATCTGATCTCGTCATGGAACGGCTGAGCTCGGCTGCAGCAAAAAGCTGGAGCTCTTTCAGCGAGTAGCCAGCGCGACGAAGGCTATGCCGCTATGCACAAGCGTGCTTGCACAAACGTCTCCAGCAATCTTTCCCAGTACCTGTATGAACGAGAACGAACCATCCGCCTGGCATTGGTCTCTGCAGAAGCGCATGCGCCAAAGAGATCAAATGCGAGAAGCGCGTGGGAAATTCCTGGCCCAGGCGAATATCCGGATTTGCATATTTTGCATCTGCATGCGGCAAAGTTAGCGTCATGAATTCCTCGTCCTTCTGCTGCTTCGAATTGGAGCTCCGGGGCATTGCACCCCTGGCAGTCGCTTTTCTGCCTGGGTCGAGTTGACCGTTCAAGCCAAAGCACCGACCTGCTGCAATCAGCTCAGTCACTGGAGCTGGCAGCTGCAACTGCCCCAGCCATGGCAGCGGCAGCACTGGCCGTGCCAACAGCTGCGAAGGTTTCAGTGCCGCGCGCGGCATTGCTGCCAGCTCGGGATGGCGCACCTGCTCACTGGACTGGAACTGCCAGCACATGTCAAGAAATGCCCCTCAAGCAGCAAAGCACCATGGATAAGTCTCCTGCCGCTGCTTGTCGCGGGACCTCTTGAGGGGCCAAGAAGGTAGGGGCCAGAAGGAGAGCTGCCGTCACGCCTCCAATGCCAGCACGATGGCTACTGCACAGTCTCAAGAGTAGACATCTGTGCTGCCGAACCGGGACCTGCCGCTACGGCAGGAGTGCGGCTCTTGGTGGACGCTATTTTGCTGATCACCTGACGCCGGCAAGGCACGAAATAAGGGCACAGCGACCAACAGCACTTGTAAGATGCTGACAGCCATGGCAAACTCCAGTGGATCGGAAGCCACACCGATCAAAGGGCAGAGTGGAACAACCCTGCAGCAGCTAAGCTTGAGCCCGGGCCCAACACCTTCGACGAACTGCTTGACCTAGCTGTGCGTCGCGTCACCGCCACTTCCGTACTTGTAGCATCATGTCGCAACCGCGACACCAACAACGACACAGAAGAACTGGAAGAAGACAACAAAGACAATAAGTTTCAACACAACCACCCAATAATTCACACAGCGATGCTAACGCTGGTTTAGCCCTAGCAAGGGCACCCAATGGAGATGGTGTGGATTTCGAAAAGATCGTCAGGCAACGCAAGAAGAGGCCTCTCTGTTCTTCCTTGGCCTCATGCATTTGAAGCGCACCAGGAAGTCCTTTCCCAGCAGGAAACTTGCAGCAAAGTTACGCTTGTAGTTAGACGTGACATTGAAAAGGCGCCAGCCATTTGTCAGGTTTGACACGCTTGCACGTCTTTTCAGCTTGGTCCTCCAAAGATGCTTGAGCGAGCTGTGCTTGCCCATTGGTTGCTCCATCGAAGGCTGCCTGTTAACTCTAAACAGTTAACAGCCTGCTCAAGCTTACGCAACTCATCGAAATTGAAGTCATCGCCACCTTGATTTGCTTCTCGATGAGCTGATAGTACAACCTGCTCGACTTGTAAAGCACCTCGATGGATGGCACATCTGAACTTGTCTGGCCCACCGGGTTCATGCAGCTCAAGCTGTGTACAACATGTCCTCCAGGCCCAAACACTGCCCAAATAAATAATTTTGTTGCGTTCATTGTCGATTGAAGAAGTGGACGCATGCGTCTAGGAAGAGAGGAAGACTTGAGAATGATGTCACACTTGTGGAGGAGGGACTGTGGACGAAAGCTAGGGCAGAGCAGCAGTGGACAAGCCGAGGCAGGCAAGCGGACTTGTTCAGAGAAAACATGCCGCCGGCCGGAGTTTTGTGGCTGATCTTGGTTGGCTGGGCGGAAAAGCTTGAGAGTAGCAGCCAAAAAAGGCACTGAAAGACAATCATGCTTGTTGCAGGGCAGGAGATTGGAACAGTCACAGCACCGAACATCATACGAGCCAAGCTAAGCCACTCAAAAAGAGTCATGCGCATCATTGATGCCCGGCCGGGGCGGCGCGGCGAGCATCATTGGCGGCTCACTTCTCCATTCCAGGGCAAGCCGAAACACCCCCTTTTCACACCCGAAAATGAGAGGGTCTCGTCAGGCGGGAGTATGCAGCTCCAGGTGCAGTCTAGCTCGCGAAACCGGCAAGAATTTTGGGGGTCCCTTTCCCCACACCCCTTGTTGCAACCTTCGGTTGATAAGAAACCCCGCTAGCCCCGGAGGCGAGCTTTCGTGA